AGTTTCATAGTTCTTGGAAAAACAAGCTGTATCTTCTCAATAATCTTTATTCATAAATGTATGTGAAATACAAAAAGGTCAAATGCCCTTACCAAACACCACATACAAATATTAACTCAAAATGGATCAAAGAATTAAATATAAGAGCTAAAACTATAAAACTCTTAGACGAAAACATAGGAGAAAAGCTTCATGACATTGCATTTGGCAATGGTTTCTTATATATGACACTAAAAGGGTAGGCAACAAAAGAACAGACAAGTAAAACTTCATAAAAATTAAAAAGTTTTGTGCATCAAGTGACACTGTCAACACAGTAAACCAGCAACCCACAGAATGAGAAAAAATATTTGCAAATTACATATCTGAAGAGGAATTAATATCCAGAATATAGAAAGAACTCCTAGAACTCAATAACAAAAAAACAAACAACACAATTAAAAAATGGGCAAAGGGCTTGAACAGATATTTCTTCCAAGAAGATAGGCAAATGGCCAATAAGCACATGAAAAGACGCTTATCTTTATTAATGATTAGGGAAATGCAAATCAAAAGCACAATGAGATACCACTTCACACCCATTGTGATGGTGGCTATATATATAAGAGCCAACAGCAGAAAACAAGTGTTGAGAAGGATGTAGAGAAATTGGGATGTAAAATGGTACAACCACTGTGGAAAACCATATGGTGGTTTCTCAAAAACTTAAACATAGAAATACCATTTGATCCAGCAATTTCACTTCTGGATGTATATACAAAAGACCTGAAAGCAGAGACTCAAAACAGCTATTTGCACATCGAAGTTCATAGCAACATTCTTTAAATAGCCAAAAGGTGGAAACAACCTAAATGTCCACTGATGGGTGAATGAATAAACAAAATGTACACTCTCTCTCTCTCTCTCTACACACACACACACACACACACACAATGCAATATTATTCAGTCTTGAAGAGGAATGAAATTCCAGTACAAGCTTCAACATGGTTGAACCTTGAAGACATTATGCTAAGTCAAATAAACCCAATACAAAAGGACAAATATTGCATGATTCCACTTATATAAGCCACCTAGACTATTCAAATATATAAAGACAGAAAGTAGAACAGTGGTTACCAGGGGTTGGGAGGAGGGGAAATGGGGAGTTATTATTTAATGGTTATAAGATTTCAGTTTGGGAAGATGAAAAAGTTCAGGAAATAGATAGTGGTGATGGTTGCACAAAATGTGAATGTACTTAATGCCATTGAACTGTACACTAAAAATGGTTAAAATGGTAAATTCACACACACACATAATAAATATATTTTTATCAATTTTTTTTTATCCTACCCTAAGACATTTTTGCATTTATCTTCAGATAGAGTGGGAGGAAGAGAGGAAGAAAGAGAGAGAGAGAGAAACATCGATGTGAGACATCGACTGGCTGCCACCCACACAACCCCAACTGGGGCGGTGACAAACTGCAACCAAGATACATGCCTTTAGTGGGAACTGAACCCAGGACTCTCTGGTCCACGGGCTGACACTCTAACCACTGAACCAAACCAGCCAGAGCTATTTTTTTTTTTTTTTAAATCCTCGCCCGAGGATATTTTTCCATTTTTTGTACAGATAGAGTGGGAGGGAGAGAGAGGAAGGGAGAGAGAGAGAGAGAAACATCGACGTGAAGGGACACATCGAGTGGCTGCCACCCGCACGACCAACCAGGGCCGGGGACAAACTGCAACCGAAGTACGTGCCCTTAGCGGGAACCGAACCCGGGTCTCTCCGGACCGCAGGCCGATGCTCTAACCGGTGAGCCAAACTGGCCAGGGCATCAGAGCTATTTTTATCAAATTTTTAGAGAGAGAGATAGAAACATCGGTGTGAGAAAGAAACATGGATTGACTGCCCCTTGCATGCCCCCCCACCCCATGGATTGAGCCTGAAACCCCCACATATGCCCTGACCGGGAATCTAATTAGGACCTCTCAGTCCATGAGACAACACTCAATCCATTGAGCCAAACTGGCCTGGCAATTCACACATACTTTATCATGCACAAAAAAAAGGAGTTAAAATGAACAAGCTTCACAATCAACTTCAGACAAATATGACACCTGTGTATACAGTATAAAAATGCATGCACTTCATTACATTAGTAAATGCACACCATTCAGTCACACTGAGGGTATTAACTGATTAAAAAGCTTTGCCCTCCATGACGCCAATGAGAAATAACAGAAAAATGTCGTCTATCTTTTGGACAACAACAACAACAAAAAAAAACCCATGTGAAAGAATGGACTTTGTCTAATAAGCAATAATAGATTTATAAGCATCACCTTGAAATGCCTCAGAGACTGGAATGTGTCTGGGGGCTGTCAGAACTCAAAAACTCACAAATCTCTTGCCAGAAGAAGTGACAGGCGGGGCAGGCAGATCTAACAAAGAGCCCTCTCTGGTCTGCTATCTTACTAGGTGCCATAGATTCCAGTTAACACCTATTTATGGTCTTTAGGTTTTATTGTAGGAGTCCTTTAGAATCTACTTAGGGATTTAGTTCCTGATTTTTTCTTTCTACTTAGTTTGCTGCTAACAATTGCAGGGCCCTACTGCATCTCAAAGCCAGCTTTTTGGGAAGCTGTGAATACACTTAACATTAAGTGATATTCGCATTAATGTTTATAAGTGAAGGGAGAGAAGTGCTCCAACACATGTTGGAGATTAACAAGGCAGTCAAATACTTCTAATCTGATAGTGCTGAGAATAAAATCAAGTGTATCCTAAACTGTCATGTAGTGCCCTTCAAAGTCAGTTAGGAAAGAGAAGCAACAACTATTTTGAGAGCAGTTTTGCAAAGGGTCCCAGAATAGTATCACCCTTCCCCCACTTCCCAAGTGAAAAGGACTGGTAAGAGAGGTAACGAGTGTACAAAAACACCATGAGAACAAGGACTACACTTAGATTAATCACCACTGTTTCCCACTACCCAGCAACATACCTCGTATACAGCAGACCTATAATTATTTATTGACTAAATAAATCTTTGATAGCTGTTACCCTTTCCCCTTTCTCAAACAGAACTGTCTACTCTCCCGCTCCATAGAAATTGTCTCATCTCTGGTTTGTGGACTCTTTCTGAGAGGCACTTTCATCACTTCATTTAACTTTGAAAGAAGTTGGAGGAGGGTGAGGACATGTGCTTGCTAATTATCCTTTTCCAGATTGCCTCATGCACCAGAATGGATTTTTATTATTGGTCTGTGGCTGCTACTGCTGTAGAAAGATTTCAGTCTGACCTTCCCAAGCTGCTGGGGGATGAATACTGCATGTGGCTGATAGGCAAAATGTGTCTTCCTTTCTTTTTAAAGCTTTTAGACTAACCAGAGCTCACTGTGGTAGGAAAGTCACCCCTTCTCTCACTGAACAAACTCAAGATGCTGAATTCTTTTGTATAAAAGTGGTATAGTGTTCTGGCTGGTTTTGCTCAGTGGTTGGAGCATCGGCCTGCGCATCAGAGAGTCCCAGGTTTGGTTCCCGCTAGGGGCACATACAAAAAAAAAAAAAAATTAGTTAAAAAAAATGGTATAGTAAAACCGATCTGAATTGGTCTATTAGAAAAAAGGTAGCATCTTGAAGCATCTTACTGAGAGCAGTGGTATCAAAGAACAGGATTCAGGACTGCTCCATAGGCAGAATAGAAAGAAAGAAAAAAAGAAAAGAAAATGAAGCCATTTATAAAGATAGTTTAAATAAGAGGATGAATTCTCACATGTGGTTCTCACAAAAGAGAACAAATATGTCAAAGGGAACAATTGATATACTGAGTCCTATCTATCTGGCTGAGGAAACAGCCACTGGTGGGTATACTGAGAAGCTTGTCTGTTAGGAAAAAAGGTTTGTTTGGTGCTTCACTGGGAAAACGGAATAGCTTTTAGGAACACTGGAACACATGGTCACATGGTAGCTGGCTCAAAGAAGGGATACACTGATGCACTGGCAAAAAAGGCAGAGCAGAGTATATGTGGGCTTTTAAAAACTGACTTGGAGTCCTGGCTGGTTTGGCTCAACGATTAGGGCACCAGCCCGCAGACCAAAGAGTTGTGGGAACTCAATCCTAGGCAAGGGCACGTACCTGTTGCAGTTCGATCCCTAGCCCTGGTTGGGGTCCTGTGGAAGGCAACCAATCGATGTCTCTCTGTCTCTCTCTCCCTCCCTTTCTCCCTTCCACTCTATCTGAAAATCAATGAAAAAATATCCTCGGGTGAGGATTAAAAAAAAAAGTAGGCTTGGAGCCTGTATACCTAAACTCTCATGAATACTCTGGCCCTCATTTTGTGCTTTAAAAAATAGGACTCAAGAGTCTCATTCTGAAACATCAAGTTCAAGCCCATGCCATGAACTAAAGTCCCATCTCTACTTTTATATAATGCAGAGCCGAGTGCAGGCACTTTGGGAGATGGGGAAATCAGGCCAGACTCAAGGAAAACAAACACACAATGCTATCTGCATCTCCAATTCAGTCCATACTATAGAAAAGCCTACTCAGAAATAAATGAGGCAAACAGAACTCAATTACTAAGGAGAATCTACCCAATGAGGGCTCATGTTTTAACAGGCCAACAGCATCAAATTAAGCTGAACTCAGGATTTTTTCTAACTGGCAATTTCATTCATTTCTAAGTTTTCATTTCTTATTTTCAAAAATCAAAATGACTCTCTGCCCAAAATATAAAAAAAGAAATGCCTTATCACCCACTCTAAAATAAGAATTCTCCAAATTTTCACCTACATATCTTCTATATAATTAAACAAACCTCTCATATGTTACAAAAGCCAAAGCCATTACTATTTAAAGTACTATCAACAAATCCCTTACTAATTCCTTTTAGCAGCCTGCTCTTGCCACTCCCACTAGAAGCTCAGTCACAGAATCACTCTGCTATTAAAAAGAGGGCAACTACTTGATCCTAGCCACCAAGCAGAGTCACTCTGGAGAGAGTATTGGCTTACCTGCTCCTCTGACAGTTGGGATATGTGATTCACAGCAGCATAAGATTCAATTTTGGGGTTAAAGTGGTTGATGATGGCTCTGAAACAAAGAAAGAATATTAATATAACACCAGATCGAAAAAAAGAAGAAATGGGTTAAAAACAAGTATTGTGTACTCTCCGGTTTAGAGTACCAGTGCATGGGAGTGATTGTCAGAGGGTAATTGTCCTCTTACTGAACATGAGATCACATGGGGGTGAACTAATAACTCTGAAGTGAGAAGGGTTTAATAATGTATAAGAGACAACAAAATTAAGCATTTCTGCTTTGCAAATGAACTAGAGAAAATCTCACAACACAACAAAACAAAACCAAGCATCCTTCAGACAAAAACAGGACCCAGTGAGCTGTCCACTAGGGGGCCGTGGTGTTTCAGTCAGAATGAAAAGCAGTTTGCTCGGCTCTGACTTGGGAGAACAGGGCACTTAGGATCTACATGTACGTTAAATATGGTCTCTGAAGAAGCTGAGCTTTGTCAAAGCCTAGAATCAACCTTCATACTTGTTAGTTAATATTTCAAATCAAAATTTTATTTCCAGCCATTGAAACCAAAATCTGAGTGTCATTTTCAAACGCTCCCTCTCCTTTACTCCCTCACATTCAAGATCACCAAGTCTTATCAAATCTCTCTCTTAAGAAATCTCTGAAATCTGAAAGAAATTTATCTGAAACCAATGCCTTGGCATAGGTCCTTGTCGTTTCTTGTCTGGTGTAGCAGAAAAACACAGGTTTTAGATCTAAGTTTAGTATGAGTCCATATTGTTATGAAAATGATTAAATAATTAGGGAGAAGAGACAAATCTTTCAAACAGAACAATTTCAAATAATATGTGTATATAACATATCCTCTTTATGAGGTGGAGTTTAGTTCCCTTTCTCACTGAAAGTAGGCTAGACTTAGTGACTTATTTCCAAAGAATATAGTAGCAAAAGGGAAAAATAGTTAGCTTTACAGTAAAATATCCTAGAGAACACCACTTTAACCAAGAAATGAAGGTGAACATCATCAGTGATGTCAGGTAACCCCTAGTATGATCGAATGAGAAAGGGAACTTCACTTCTTTTGTGTATTTCCCAAAACCCATAACCTCAGTCTGAGAAAAACATCGACAAACACAGATTTGGGGAGACTGTCAAGGTTGTGAAGAACAGAGAAATTGTCACAGACCAGAGGACGTTTGGGAGACATACAAATAAATGCAATGTAATACCCTGCATTGTATTCTGGAGCAGAAAGAGGATGTTACTGGATGAACTGAGGAAATCCAAACAAAATATGGAGTTTAGTTAATAGTAATGTATTGATGCCAGTTTCTTACTGTTGGTAAGTGTACCATGGTAATGTAAGATGGAGGAAACTAGGTTGAGGGGCAGATGTTGCATTTTTTCTGTAGTTCTAAAATTATTGCAAAATAAAAAGTTTATTAAAACATGTGTGTGTGATAGCATAATACAAGTCAATGTTTTCTTTAAATATAACTTATTGTCAAGAATTACAGAACCATTTAATCTAATAGAGGTAATAAAAGTATAAACCAGAAACTTCACAAAAAAACATGGTTTGGAATCCTATTTTGACCACTTATGATTCTGAATGATTTGGGGGAAGCTATATGTTTCACTAGAAGGGAAAAAAAGGAATAATAATACCTATCTTAGCACTTAGCAAGGTACCTAGGAATAATACATTGTAGGCATACAATAAATGTTTGTTGAAAAAGTAACATCTTAAAGGATTCTGGTAACATTTATATAAGGCAATGTCAAACATCTAGCACAATGCCTGGCACACAGCTGGTGCTCAATAAATATTCAATGGATAAATTAAATATGACAGAAACAGGTCATGGCCCTATGCTTTATGCTGCAGAGCATATATGCTGATACTGTTGGCAGAGGGTATGACAGATTTCCCACTCTGGGAATTTATATTTGAAATGAAGATAAAATCATTCTCCAACCTGCCTGGTGACATTCTCATCCCAGAGCTTCAGCTCTCACCAGGTGATTAAGGTCTCCACCAGGCAATCTGAGGGACTATTTAGAAACCCGAGAGATATGGAACAGTCTTAATCCAGTTAGTAGTCTCTAACTCAATACCCACAAAGGGCATAGAGTGTATGTCTCTGCTTTACTTTTCTTGTTGTTTCTTTGGGACTGTTACCTGAAATATCTGAATACTAATCTGAACTACTAGAAATGCCAGGTACAGGGCACTAGGCTTAGGAGGTAAGAAAAATAGCCTGACACTGGCTGTTCTCCCTTCAGATTCTTTGGCAAAGAATTTGATAGCGGGCTTGGGAGCTTCATACTATTGAAACAGAAATATGTCTGAGATAGCAGAGAGATGACAAAACACTGAAACCAGGCTAAGTCATCCCAAACACTGATACATGCCTTTGCAGTGACTGAAATACTTACTTCTCCTTCCCCAGGAAGTTTGGAGGCTACTAGGGCTCACCTGGGTTGTGATTCCACACTGCCCCCACCTGGCGGTGGCCCTAGACTGGGACTTATGCCTGACTAGCTCTCAATGGAAGAAAGATGAGGTACCAGATTTATGAATGAGGGAGCAGTCTCTCTCTTTTTTTTTAAGGATTTCCTTCCCACTGATATCACCTCCAAAAGAATTTACTACCATCTCTTCTGAACACTGTGCGGGGTGAGGGGTCTCCTGAAAGATTCTAATAGTAGCTCTCTCATTTTTACTGATCAAAACTTGACAGACAGCAACTGTCCAGAGCTAAAGTCTAAAATTTGAGTGTTTCAGCACAGAAGAAAGGACATTTTTTTCTAAAAATGAATGAGCAGAATATGAATTTAATTCCCTCCTACCCATTCTACTCAAACCTCCACTCTACAAAAAGGGCAGGTTCAGAGAAGGTGAATACTCAAGCAGGACATAAGTTCCTTGTCCCTGACTAGCCTGGTATAAAATAAAGCTCAGAAAAGGTAGTTGAAGAGACCAGGAAGAGGAGTCTTGCATGCGAAGGAGACTAGGGCAGACTCTATCAGGGCATTCCCCACTAAATTCATATAAATTGAATATTTGCCCCCCCACCTGCAAATTCATATGTTGAAGGCTTAATCTCCAATGTGACTGTATTTGGAGAGAGGGCCTTTATTGAAGTAATTAAGGTTAAATGAGATCATAAAGGTTGGGAACTGATCTGCGCGCGCGTGCACACGCACACACACACACACACACACACACAGAACAGAGATAATGCCTGAAAGGACAGCATGTCTGGGCATCACCATACATGGTAAAGAGATGCGCATTTTCCCTTTTATTTGCATTTTAAGATTGTTTTTCATCTAATCTCAGCCCTTCAGGTATTTAAACAAAACCTAATTTATGCCAGTCAAAAACTTTCATGTTAAAGAATATTTTGAAAAGGGAGACTTGAAGGGAAGAAGAGGAATAGACAGAAGAAGAAATTTGAGTGGGTAATAAATCATTAAACATAGACATTATGAAAAGATTAAGGCTTCCCTTTGACAAAGGTGGCAAGACAATTAAATAAGGAAATAATAGTTTTTTTCAAGAAACAGTGTTGGGACACTTGGGTAGCTACATGCAAAAAAATAAAGCTGGATCCCTACCTCACACCATATACAAAATTAACTCTAAAATAGATCACAGATCTAAATGTAAGATCTAAAAACTATAAAATTCTTAGAAGAAAACATAAGAATAAATCTTCACAAGCCTGGGTTAGGCAATGATTTCTTGGATAGGACACCAAAAACACAAGTGACAAAGAAAAAGTAGGTCAAACTAAAATGATACCATCAAGAAGGTGAAAAGAAAACCCACAGAATGGGAGACAATATTTGGACATCATACACTGGATAAAGAAACCCAATGAGATACCACTTCACACCCAGTAGAATGGCAATAATAAAAAAACAGTAACAAGTGTTGGCAAGGACATGGAGAAATCAGAACTCTCATACATTGCTGGCAGGATTGTAAAACGATATAGCTACTTTGGACAATGATTTGGCAGTTCCTCAAATGTTAATACATAGAGTTATTGTATGACTCAGAAATTCTACTCTTAGGTACATACCCAAAAGAATAAAAACATTATGTCTATAGAGAGCCCTGGCACGGTAGGTCAGTGGTTAGAGCATTGTCCCAATACACCAAGGTTATGGGTTCAATCCCCAGTCAGGGCACAAACAAGAATCAACCAATGAATGCATAAATGAATGGAACAACAAATCAATATTTCTCTCTCTCAAAAATCAATTAAAAAAAACATTATGTCTACACAAAAACTTGTACACAAATGTTCATAGCAGCATTATTCATAATAGCCCAAAAGTAGAAACACCCAAATATCCATGAATGGATAACTGAAGAATCGGTAAACTGAAGAAAGGATAAACAAAATGTGGTATAACTATAATAAAATACTATTCAGCCATAAAAATAAATGCTACAACATGGATGAACCTTGACAATATTAAGTGAAAGAAGCCAGACACAAAAGGCCACATATTATATGATTCCATTTATAGGAAAGGTCCAGAAGAGGTAAATTATTATACATAGAGAAAGTATATTAGTGGTTGCTTGAGGCTGAGGGGAAGGTGAGAGGAAAAATGAAGACTGGCTGATGATGGATAAAGAGTAACTTTTGGCCCAGCCAGTGTGGCTCAGTGGTTGAGCATCCACCAATGCACCAAGAGTCGCTGGTTTGATTCCTGGTCAGGGCACATATCCAGGTTGTGGGCCCAATCCCCAGTGGGGGGTATGCAGGAGGTGGCCAATCAATATTCTCTCTTGTCAATGTTTCTTTCTATTTCTTTCTCCCTCACCCTTCCTCTTATTTTTAACACTCTTGACCACTTAAAAAAAAGAGAAAGAAATGGCTGAAGCTGCCTACATTACTCAGAGAGCCATCCATCCAGGACTACGAAGAGGGTTTAAAGAAATAAGGCCCGCCCTGGCCGGTTTGGCTCAGCGGTTGGAGCATCGGCCTGTGGTACAGAGAGACCCAGGTTCGGTTTCCGCTAAGGGCACGTAC